TGGACCTGCCTTCTTTTCCGGCCAGTGGAAAATATCCTTCTTCATCAACAAATTTGAAACTTTAAATTGTTTTTATCTTGGAAAAGGGAATGAAAGCCCCACTTTAAAAATAGTAGCTGTCATTAAAAGTAGTTTAGTGGCCAGGCGCTGTGGCTGATGCCTGTAATCCTACCACTTTGGGAGGCCAAGATGGGAGGATCGCTTGAGGCCAGGAGTTTGAGACTAGCCTGATCAATGAGCAACACCCCCCTTTCTCTCCATCTCTCTCTCTCTCTCCATATGTATATATTTTATATATCTATCTATCCATCTATATATATACACATACATATATGCACACAGACACACACATATATATTAAAAGTAGGAGTTTAAACATACATACACACAGACACACACACACACACACACACACACACACATACATATATTAAAAGTAGGAGTTTAAAAGGTTAGATTGTAATGTTGCTGCCTTTCCAGGGCCATAGTGATCTGAAGTAATGCTGGTTATTCATCCTTATATTGGGACAGAGAGATGTCCTTGGTCTCCTCTCTTTTCTCATCTTTTCCCTGGGTGATCTCAGCTCCATAACTGTCACCTGGTGGTTGATGAGTCTGTTTCATGCCTTCAGTGCTGGCATCTCTTCATCCCTAGAGTGATGCTGTCATCTCCATCTTGAATGTCTCAGCTGACGTGGCCTGCTAAACTTAAACTCGTAGGTGGGACAATCGCTTGAGCCCAGGAGTTCAAAACCAGCCTGAGCAGCATAGAGAGATTTTGTCTCTATTCTTTCATTTTATTATAAAAAATATTCAAAATAAAATGAAATTGAACCCGTAAACTTCATCCTCAAATTGGCTTCGTGTCCCTCTGTTCTCTAGTCCACAAGCCACCAAATTTTGGCCTGTAGAATAAATCTAGCCCATTGCCTGTTTTATAAAAAAGGTTTATTGGAACACAGCCACACACTACAGCAACAGGGTTGCGTAGTTGGAATAGTGATTTCTGCGGCTCACAGGTCCTATAATATTTACTCTCTGGCCCTTAATAAGAAGTATGCTGACCCCTGCCCTCAGGTATTGAATGCCCTCATGTTACTCTCTATTCACTTGCCAGTCCCCCTGTTTCTCCTCTGTCCTCTCTTCCCTGGCTGTTACTGTGATCTGGCAGTGCTGCCTCCTTGGTTATCTTTTGACTTGGTCTCTCCTTCCCAGTGGCTGTCCTTCCTGTTACCGTCATCATAATTGTCATCCAGCTGGCTTTGCTGGCCCTTCTGTTTGATGTGGTAGTCATCAGTATAATGATTATATCTGTTCTATCCTAAATTGTTTTTTTCCAATTAATTCTGTAGAGTTTAGAATTTCTACATTTATAGGAAGTTAATATTTATTTTCTACAATATTGCCAAATTTTCTGAAATGACAATGCTATCATTTAATTTATTCTCCAGAAAGTGGTGCTGCACTCTGATGCACGTCATTATGCATGACATGATGAGTATCACCTTTTGCCACCACCTTAGTTGCTTATATCTGTTTTTAATATGTGCTGGCTATTGAAAGTTTCTTCATTAAGGTAGAAATCAATGTGTCCTTATATTTGCCTTTCTTCATATGAGTTTTCTGTATGTGTCATTTGTTTATTTAATTGCCTTGGAATTGGTTAGTTATGAATTTCATTATTCATTTACCAATTCCAGCCAACAAATGTCTATTAAGAGCTTGTCAGTGAATTTTCAAGCCTGGCATGGTGGCACATGCCTGTAATCCCTCAGCACATTGGGAGACTGAGGCAGGTGATTCACTTGAGACCAGGAGTTTAAGACCAGCCTGGGCAACATGGCGAAACCTCATCTGCACTAAAAATACAAAAATTAGTCAGGCATAGTGACATATGCCTGTAGTCCCAGCTACTTGGAAGGCTAAGGCACGAGAATCACTTAAACCTGAGAGGCAGAGGTTTCAGTGAGTCAAGATCATACCACTGCACTCCAGTTTGGGTGATAGAGAGAATCTGTCTCAAAAAAATGAGGAAAACAAAAAAAAGAGCCTGTCAGATGTGCCTGAGGGGAGACCAGTCTGTGGGTCCCTAGTAAAGAGTAAGGATAAAAAGGCAAGACCTTGAATATCCTGTTAAAGGTGGAGTCCAGGCAGTGGGAACTTAGTATAATTTTAAGCAGGGAAGTAAAATGATCAGATATTCATCCTAGGAAGTGGACCCTCACAGTAGTGTGGAGAACGGACTCAAGGGAGGCCAGTGGTAGAAACAGCAAGATCAGCAGGGAGTCAGCTGTACCAGTTCGTACAGGGGACCGGAAGAAATGGACCACCGCCATGGGAACAGGAGAAAAAAGGAAAGAATTAGAAAATATCTGTTTGTTCACTGGATATGCAATGGGTGAGAGAGAGAGAGATCAATCATGCTTCTGAGGGCTCATCCTTGAGTAATAAGAATATAATGGAATATATTGAGTTTGTTTTTAGACATGCTGATTTTGAGAAGCCATGGACACCCTGGTAGAAGTATCCAGGCGACAATTAGATAAACAAGTGCGGAATCAGAAGAAAGGTGGTTAGACATAGATGTTGAGAAGTCATTGGCATACCAGTGAAAGTTGAGTCATGGGACTGGATAAGTTTGTCCTGAGACTGCAGGCAGAGTGAGATATCCTGTTAGCCAGGCACGGTGGCTCACACCTATAATCCCAGCACTTCGAGAGACTGAGGCAGGTGGATCACAGGTCAGGAGTTCAACACCAGCCTGGCCAACATGGTGAAACCCCGTCTCTACTAAAAATACAAAAATTATCTGGGCGCGGTGATACACACCTGTAATCCCAGCTACTCAGGAGGCTGAGGCAGGAGAATTGCTTGAACCAGAACCTGGGAAGCGGAGGTTGCAGTGAGCTGAGATCATGCCACTGCACTCCAGCCTGGGCTACAGAGCAAGATTCCATCTCAAAAGAAAAAAATAAGAAAAAAAAAAAAGAGCTAAAATAAATAAATAAAGAGAAGATCCTGCTAGCTGATGATGGCACCTTGGAGAATATTCACATTTAAGAAGCGTCAGAACTGGAAGCCACAAAGGGACTCAGAAAGAAGGTTTTAACATTAGGAGGGGAATCTGGGGAGAGTGGTATTAAAAATGAAGACTGCAGAGAAAATGTAAAGAATGAAGATGTGGTGTTTCATGCTTATCAAACACTACGGAGAGGTTAAGTGAACAAAAAGTGTGCATTGGATTTAACAGTTAGAAAATTGCTGGGACATGAGTGAGACAAGATTTTGTAGACATTTCCAAAACAAGCCCGTGAACGAGATGGTGATAGGAGTAAGGAATTCTTTCAGAGACTTGCCTGTGAAAGGTAGACAGGTAAGGTGTTTGGTTGCTGGAGGAGCAGAAAGGATGCGACATGCCAGGAGAAACGGGCATCCTCGTGTGCTCAGGCACAGAGACAGATGAGAGACAAAGCAGAATGGGAGATCCACAGAATGAGTCTTTGAAGAAGGCTGAATGGATAATGTCCAGGGGATGTTAGCCTTCAACTGCAGTACCGGATCCCTTTTCCTCTGAAACAAGAAGGAAGGAGCAGAGATGAATGAAGAGAAGACGCTGGGATACAGGCAGGAGATTTGGGGTCTTGACTGCCTGTCTCTAATGTCTTCAAGAGGGTGGAAGGCATGCTCATGCCTGAGGAAAGTGATGAAGATTTGGAGGGGCCCTGAAGGAAACTGATCTCAAGGGAGTTGACTATGGACATTTGATAGCATTTGGGGCACAACTGCTTAAACACTGATGAATAGGAGCTGTTGAAATGAATTGGATGATATCTATAGGACAAACTTCTACTTTTAAAAGGAATAAAATGGAATCATTCACATTTTGAGAGATCTCCAGAGTCTAGTGATTTTTTTTTAGAAAGCATATCAGAGAATAATATACTATCATTAATACAGACAGGCACGTATTTTTAAAAGATCTGGAAAAAAAAAACAGATTAATAATAGAGCTGTTTTCTGGTTAATGAAAAGAAGTAGGACATAGCCAAAAATCAGAACTTTTACTTTTTTTTTCTTTGTTTCTTGAGACGGCTGTCACTATATTCCCCAGGCTGGAGTGTGGTGTTATGATCACAGGTGAGGGCAACCCAGACCTCCCAGGCTCATTTGACCCTCCCACCTCAGCCTACTAAGTAGCTGGGACTGCAGGTGCCCACCAGCACACCCTGCTAATTTTTCTATTGTTTTTTTTTTTAGAGATGGGGTTTTGCCGTATTGCGCAGGCTGGTCTCAAAATCCTGAGCTCAAGGTATCCACACCCTCAGCCTGCCAAAGTGCTGGAATTATAGGCGTGAATCACTGCATGCTAAATTTTAAATGACCTAATTTTCATACAACTTAACACTTTTCTACTGTCCATCTTCTTTCTTATGTACTGAGTGTACACCTGTTTATTTTATAATATTTGATCCTTAACACATGTATTTTAATTACCAAGGCATACATAAATATCTGCTCCTTATAAAAACCTGAAAGCATTACATGACAGCTTCAACTAACCCTCAAGCACAACCTCAGCCTGGCCAGCACCCAGCCTCACGAGAAGCAACCATAGTGTGAACTTGTGTGAATACCTTTACAGTCCCTCAGAGAGACTGTTTTTTTTTTTTTTTTTTTTTTTTTTTTGAGATGACTCTCTCACTGTCACTCAGGCTGGAGTGCAGTGGCGCTATCTCGGCTCACTGCAACCTCTGTCTCCGCCTCCCAGATTCAAGCAGTTCTCCTGCCTCGGCCTCCCAAGTAGCTGGGATAACAGGCACATGCCACCACACCCTGCTAATTTTTGTATTTTTAGTAGAGATGGGGTTTCACCGTGGTGGCCAGGCTGATCTCAAACTCCTGACCTCAGGTGATCCACCCGCCTCAGTCTCCCACAGTGCTGAGATTACATGTGTGAGCTACTGTGCCTGGCCAGTCCTTCAGAGACTCTTAAATTTTTTTCTTCCAATAGTTTTATTAAATTTAAAGAAAGGAAAACTGAAAAAGAAATGACTCTTTCCAAAAGGTCATTAGTGATAATGTAGATACACATTGTGGCTGCATCTTTCATAGTCTCTGAGGATCATCCGTTGCTTTCACAGCCTTTCAGCCCAGCCCCTGCACTACGGCCAGGTGACCTCAGTGCAGGTGCAGATGCGGGCAAAGCCACTGCAGCAGCATTTGACAGACGATGTCCCGACCCACCAGGTCCAAGTCCAGCCAGGCTCCTAAGAGACACAGCAGAGGAACAGGGATTGGCATCTGCTCCTCTGGGTATGGATGCTGGGATGTTTGCTAAACTTGGTTGTACATTTTAAACTAGTTCGATCTGTCCTGGAGAATTATGAGGAGCGAGCCTTGTTGGAGGAGTAGATGAAAGAGATTCTGTTTGAAGAAATTTGACAAAACGTTCTGAAAAAGAACCGTTAAGGGCAGGTTGCTGATTCAGGCCCAGTGGTGTTCTGGGGATACTTCTGGATCCTCCTCCAAGGCACCCAGTCGTCCACCTGGTAACGGCGCCACGCTCTTCCTGACACCACTGCTCTATTTTCTCCCTTGTGACACCCAGGATGCTTCCCATGGCTTGTAACACTACATGTTCTCTGTGTTTTGGTGTTTGAAGATATCTAATGAAGAGGTTTCTCATGAGGAGTTTGTCCACTTTTCCTTCTGTGCTGCTGGCTAAATGTATGCATTTCTGTTGGAAATAATCCAGCCTTTCCTGGAGGACCACGTTTTGTTTTTCAAGTTCTTTGATTTCTTCCTGATATTCTATTTCCTTTTCCCTGGATGTTTCAGCAATTTTTTCATTGTCCTGTTTTAGTTCATCCATATCCGTTTCTAAAACTGATACTCTCTTCTTGAGAGTTCTCACTGCCTGCCTCAGAAGTTCATTTTTATTCATTTTTTTCGTGAGGTTTTCTCTCAACGAACGGATTAGACTGTTTTTCGCTCTGATGAAAAGATTTGTTCCCCTAAGTAACCTGTCTAAGACATTTTGTTTCTCCTTCAGCTGCTGAATTTCTGAACGCATTTGTTCATGTTCTTTTCTTTCTCGTTCTGAGGCGGCAGCAGTGGAATCAGACAGTCTCTGATTGTCTTCTTGGAGGGATCTAATGGCTGCATCTTTCTCCTGCAGCGCTTTTCTCAGCTTCTCGATCTCTTGCCGGAGCAATTTAGAAGACTCGGTCGATAGAACAGACTCACTTGCATGGAGAGATTCTGCAGAGTGTGAAGAAAGTGCCTCTCTGGGCAACTGGGGTAAAATATCCGGCTGTGGGAAGAGACTCTCCTTGCCCCTGCAGAGCTCTGCGCTGCTGCGCTGCGTGTGTGCTAACTCCTGCCCCAGGTTTTTGAGTTGAGTTTTACGCCCTTCATAATTTTGCATCAGGTCTCTACAGTTCATCTGACACTGAGAGTCGTCATCACTGCCAATTAAAAGTTTTGCCTGAAGTTGAGGAAGTTCTTCTTGGGGTTGGGGTGCCCCCTGCTGCACATTTTGCACTGTGGTCACCAGCTGCTCTTTCCATGCTTCCACTTTCTTAACGGGCTGTTTTAAGATATGGGGTTCTGGTGGAAGCTCCTCATACTGATAGATAGCAATATTTTCAAGGTCATGACCGGTGCTGGATGTTTGCAGAATGGTCGCTAAAGGCTGACATTTCTGACTTAATGCATCTATTTCAATATCTTTTTCTTGATTGAGATGTGTTGACTTCAGAACATTGTCTGTAAACCTCTCCTGACCACTACTAGTGGTTGAGTTTTTATTTTCCTCTTGCAGCTTACACAGGCCTCCTTCGTTGTCAGCAGTTCCATCCATTGGATGGTGATACTCTCCTTCTAAATAGCTGTTTTTCCGAGCCGCCTCTTTCCAAACACCTGATATTTCTTGGGTTTCCAAAGCAGGCGCTGGCAGTTGCTGCTGAAGGTGAGCAACACCCTGGGTGTGAGAAGCTGGAGCTGTTGTAGGCTGAAGGCCCGGCACCTCCACGTCTTCCTGCTGGATGATGTGAGTGAGTCTGCCCACCTCACTGATGGACGGCTGATCCATCCGTTCAGTTAAAGTCATACTCTGGTCATGCAGAACTTTCATCTCCAGTTCTTGTTCGTTCATTCCTTTCACTAACCTTTCCGTCTCCAGTTTAGATGAATCAGGCTTTTCGGTTCCGTTTTCTGTACGAAGACACTCAACTTCTCTTGTTTGAAAAACATCACGGTCTGTTTGAATGTCTTCTCGTTTTCCACACAGGTGGGTTTGGATTTGTTGTTTTGTATTTTGCAGATTAATTTCTTCGTCTTTGGCTGAAAAGCGCTGGGTGTGTGTGATATTCATTTGCTCTTGCTGGCATTTAAGATCATCCATTTCCTGTTTCTGGTGTTGTAAAGACTGAAGTAGTTGCATCTTACTGCCCAACTGCTCTTGAGTTATCTTTTGAGATTTCATATCTGCCTCAAGACTGTTGTTGTGTCCTTTCAGTTGAGATACCTCCGTTTCTAGCCCCATAATTGGATCTGCAGTTCTCGGCGCTGCCACAGGTGCAGGTTGACTATGTTGAAGTGTCTCATTCAGTGGTTCTGTGAAGTCCATGCATGCCTCAATGTCCTTGATGTCACAGTTAGGGAACTCTTCTTCTCCACTAACTGTGCCCCGTATCAGCACATTTGAGATGTGTCTGATGAAGGAAGTCACATTGTTGCCCACTCGAGCCATGTGCGTCCTGGAATGGCCTGAGCCAGAGCCAAGGCCCCCAAACCAGAAAGACATTGCTGTGGGTTTTGGAACTGACCTGCTCTACTTTGCGAAAAGCATCCAGTGCACTGGAATTCACATCCAGTCTGGGCAAGTCAGGGAGGCCCTGTCTTTAAAACAGACAGTCACAATGAGGCGTTGCTAGGCAGCGCCTGCTGAGCCTCACAAAGGGCAGAATGCTGCCTGGAAATGCACAGGCCCGGCCTGGGGCGTCACTAGGGCCAGACTCTGGTGCCCATGGGCCTCTGCTCATCCTCACACCTTCCCACTCCCAAGGTTGGCACCCTTTCCCTCTGCATTAGTGACTTTCCCGTGTGCCACGTGCAGCATCCACCACCAACCACTCTGTTGCCAGCTGCTCAGAGCGGGCAGCCCCAGATGCTTTCCCTGAGTGTGAGTGTGAGTGCTGGTGGACATGTTAAGAAAAACACTACCTTTCATTTTTTCTACATAGTACCATACGGTACATATGTGTTCTGCACCTTCTGATTTTCATGCCACAATTACTTTGTTAAATGGAGGTAAAATTTACACTGTGAAGCACACCTATCTTAAGAGTACAAATCATTGAGTTTTGGCAAATGTCTACACCTGCACACATGCACTACCCTAAAGAAGATGGTGAACGTTTCTGTCATCCAAAAAGATCCCGGTCCCCTTTGAGATTCACCTTCACCCTTCTGCCCCAGCAAGCCTTCTTGACTCTGTTCCCATGGTTGAGTTTTGCATGTTTTTGAAGGTCACACACAGAGTATCCTATGTGTACACTCTGTGTATCGGCCTTTTTCCACATGTATTTCAGATCTCAGCAGGGTAGTAACTTTTAACTCCCAAGCAATCACTCCACTGATGGATGTATCCATTAGCCACAGCATATAAAAGTCCTAGTAGGCTGCACAGCACCAAGCTGGGGCCCAACACAAGGCCAATTTTCATACATTGCACTCAACTACAGGGTAGGCAGGTGGTGTGCGAGTGATTGTGGTCCTGATGCCATTGGAGTATTCAAAAACCATCAGGCCAGGCAGAGTGGCTCACACCTGTAATCACAGGATTTTGGAAGTCCAAGGTAGGCAGATCACCTGAGGTCAGGAGTTCCAGACCAACCTGGCCAACAAGGTGAAACCACACCTCTACTAAAAATACAAAAAAACTACCCGAGTGTGATGGTAGGCACCTGTAATCCCAGCCACTTGGGAAGCTGAGGCAGGAGAATCACAGGAGAATCGCTTGAACCTGGGAGGCAGAGGTTGCAGTCAGCCGAGATCTCACCACCACTGCCCTCCAGCCTTGGCGACAGAGTGAGACTCCGTCTCAAAGCAAAACAGTCAGTGGCTCTCTGTTGTCCCCAGTTCCATGGCAGACAATACCGTTCTTTGCCGCCACATCCCCACCTCCTGTTTTATGTCCTACTAGTACACGCTCCTACCTCAACCCCATCTCTCCAGCTCTTTGGCTGTTCTGACTTATCTGAGGTCCACGTGGATGGTTTCCCTGCTTTCCTGGCCACACAGTTCATCACTCCAATCCGTGCCCCAAAGTGCTCTCCTCAAGGATGATTGTGGACATCTCTGTCTTTCCCATGCAAACCTCAAAGCGGGGACTGTGTGTCATTTGTCCCTTCTTTTTATTCCTTCCCAGTTCTTGACATTTAGTGGGAGCTTCATAAATAATGGCTACATTAACCAAGATCTGAGATCCTCAGTACCTTGGACAAAGTCCATCCTAGGATATGCGGTTTTGGAGACTTGCTTTCCTTTCTCTGTGGATGAATGCTCAGCTGAGATCCGCTGGTGCGGGTGTTTCTGTAGCCTCATTAGCCATGGTGGGAAGCCCAGCAGCTGAAAACATTAGCTTCTGATGCAGAGTTCACTAACTCTCCTCATATTCTGTCCCTGAGTTTCTGTTTACTGTGTGCCTGTGATGCTCTTTGGTGCCGTCCCACACGGTGTTATCACAACCAACCCTTTGTTTTCATTGAACGTCCTGCCCTGCTTCTGCTATAAGTGTGACTAGCTTTTTGTCTTTGTGTGGTCTGGGCTCTACAGCTACTTTTTCCAGAGAGAAGCTAGAACAACTTGAAAAGTTTGGAAAAGTCATTCTTAGATAAGACTTGGGAGTTATCTGAAGGTTGTTATCATTTGCCGTAATTCTCAGAACAGCTAACACTCCATGAGCTCGGTGCTACCAACCACATTAAATGAAGTACGTAAGTGGTTCCTAAACAATCACTGTGGTGATGGCATCATTATTATGATTTTATGATTATTCCCATTTTACAGTAGAGGAAACGTTGCCTAGTAAGGTGCACCTGTGAACATCTAGGCCTGGAATTCAGAGTCTGATTTAACTCGAGAGCCATTTCTTTTTTGGTTTTTGTGTTTTGTTTTTATTTTTGAGATGGAGGCTCGTTCTGTCACGCAGGCTGGAGTGCAGTAGGACGATCTCAGCTCACTGCAACCTCTGCCTCCCAGGTTCGAGCAATTCTCCTGCCTCAGCCTCCTGAGTAGCTGGGATTACAGGTGTGCACCACCATCCCTGGCAAATTTTTGTATTTTTAGTAGAGACGGGGTTTCACTATGCTGCCCAGGCTGCTCTCAAACTCCTGAACTTGGGCAATCGGCCCTCGGCCTCCCAAAGTGCTAGGATTACAGGTGTGAGCCATGGTGCCCAGACTCCAGAGTCATTTCTTATCTTTCTGTTTCTTATCACCGAGTTTATTCTGCCTGTGAGGGCAAGAATGTAAAACCAATTGTAAATTGTGCACATCAGAGCTCCTTCTGGACAACCCTAGAATCAGGGTATTTATGGCCTAGTGCACAGAGACCCTGGAGACTATGGTGCTGCAGTGCATTATGGTACTACCCTTCTAGTCTGCTAGTCTACCCTGGAGCCCCGCTGCTCACTCTGCCCCCTGCCAGCTGTTGGTACTCAAGCCTTCTTTTTGTAGTGGCTCTCAATGCTGGCTGCACTTGGAAATCTCCTGAGGAGCGTTAAAGAAAAAACTTGAGACCCCGCCCCCAGAGGTTCTGATTCATTTGTTCTGAGTTGGGGTCTAGGCATCAGTATTGTTTTTTTTTTTTTTTTGACCACTTTATGAGGTATATTTTATAGGTTATATAATTCACCCATTTTTCCTTTTTATTTTGACTTGACAGGTAATACTTGTAAATATTTATGGCATACAGAGTGATATTTTGATACATGTTCCCAATGTATAATGATCAATTCAAGGTAATTATGTCCATCAACTGAACATTGATCATTTCTTTGTGTTGTGGACATTGAAAATACTCTTTTTTTAAAAAAAATATACCCTAAATATTTGCTAACCCTATTAATCCTACAGTGCTACAGAACATTAGAACTTATTCCTCCAATCAGACTGTGACTTTCCCCATCCTCTCCTCCGTCCTACCCAGCCTCCAATAACCATGATTCTACTGCACTTCTAGGAGCTTTGTTTTTAGCTCCCACATGTGAATGAGAACGTGTGGTATATATCTTACTGTGCCTGACGTATTTCAAAAATTTTCCAACTTTAAGTGTACAAAATGATTTTGTAGGACGAAAACAAGACTCCATCTCAAAAAAAATTAAAACCATACATAACAAAAATTTTTAAACTATCACAGAATATGGAGTGGCTCCTTTGGAAAATCCAAGTTAAGAATCCTCAGAGCTCTGTGTTCCCTGTGTGGTGTCTTATTTCAGGTCTTTGGCTGGGCTTTGAACACTAACTTAAGACTGTAGGAAGGTTCACACGACCATGACTCTTTCCTCTGGAGGGATGCCAGAGGGACTAGTTTTACCCCATTATGGTGAATCCATGGTTAACACTGGCAAACCTGATAGATAAGTGGGTGGTCAGCAGCACTGTAAAGGAGAAATAGTCTCCTGTGCAGTATTTCGAAGGGGCTAAGAGCCAACCCACTTCTGGGTTATTCATATCCTCAGCAGGGCAAGGGGCAAGGCTTTTCCCCAGATAAGATTTGTTTCCTTGCAACTGGGGTCCCCTTGGCCACAACTGGGTCTGTTGAGTCAATGAGGGGCTTAGGACTTTTTAGGCCCCTTTTGGTGAGGATATGCCAGAGGCATCATCAAGGGCCAAGCTTTTATTTTTTCCCATATCATTGCTGGGGTGGTGTGGCTGCCTGTTCTGGGTCCATCCTATCCCTCATTGGGACCCCTATGGCCAAGGGACTCAGAATGAATCAAAAGACTGATTTTCAATTAAACATTCTAGGCCAGATAGAAATGGAGGTGGGTAGGCACTCATTAACCCTGAAAACCCTTTAAGCAACATGAGAGTCAAAAAGCAAAATGTAAGATTAAAATTTCTGTCATCTTAAAGCCAGGCCCCCATGGCTAACATACAAAGCATATCAGCTGCCTCATCTGAGGTCCAGGTAGCATTAATAAGTGGAGCTGGGCAGTTCTACTTATCTGGGGTAAACAGATCTTACAGTGTCTTTTATCCAGTCCATGCTCAGGAATACTCTCCTGTGTGTCTGAATTATATATCCATCTACAGCTGTTCAGTTGTCAGCTGTGGGTCCTACATCAACAAGACATGCTTTTCCATCTGCAGCATTAAACCAAAGACACTGCTTCCTAATTAGTTAATTCTCACAATCCATTTTAGGAAAGATGTCTCAAGGAAGCTGATGCCAGTCTACACAAGGGAACACTTCCTTCACATCATACCATTTGGCTTCAGAAGTTACTTAGTTTTGCCTTTCCCTACATTGACTACCTTCTGGGAAATGACAGGTCTGAGAGGCAACAGAAACTACCTCTTTTGTGGGTGGCTTTGAGGCTAGTGATCTAAACTCAGACCCACATCTGAGCTTGGTCCAGCCTCAAGCCTCAACACTCTTACTTTACTTTTAGCTGTTATACATAACAATAAATAAGGGAATGAATATTTCACTTTTTCCTTATTAGTCTGCATTTCCTTA